GACTTTCCTTAAACCTCATCCTTGACCAGTCGTCTTACTTTTTTCAGTCTGGCACTTTGTTAGTTGAGTCCAGGGAAAATAGAATGGGGATGGAAAGTGTGTTTTTGACTGCCTTGAAAAGGCATCTTTTAAATTTTTATTTACAAAATCCTTTCTTTATTCTTCCGTATTTAGAATCCAGCTAAACGACTCTTACATAGTCTGTCAGTGACTGAAGAGCTTTCCTTTAGAGGAGCAAAGCTGTTCAGTGACTCTATCAGAATGATACAATGATGCTTGTTTTTACATTTTTGTTACATTTTTGTTACCAAGGCTAAACATACTAAGCATATGCTGCAGACCTGTTCAGGATAACAGATTCCTTAACTACTAAAATAACCATCAGACTGAGAACCCAACTTTGCAACTTGTTCAGAATGACTATTATCCGTTTCAGGGACATGTGAATGAAGAAAAGAGAGTATTGTAATGGGTAAATGGAGTTCATATTCTCTGGGGCCAACTTTTCAAGCTAAAAATAGTTTATGGAGGAGGTAATCTTTAAGGAGCAAAGTTTAGAGAGGCAAACAGACAAATGATATCAAGTCACAAGGAGAATTTAGACACCTGAGTTGCCTTTGTGAAATGGAAAGCTATAAAACATTGATTGCTAAACAGAAAAGGACTCTCTAGGGAGGCTCCGCAGGAGCTTCAGTCTTGACTGTAGAACTCAAAGCAATTGCAGTAGCCAGGGTCCCTGATCCTAGATGAGAATATATGTGTGTGTTTGGAGGAGGGCAAGGAGAGTGTTCGTTATTTCTGTCCCAGCCACAGCCAGAACCAAGAAGAGATGTTCACAATCAGATAAGGAAGAGTGCTTGCTGAGGAACTAAGGTAAGTGGACAATGAGAACAGCTCCTTCTCTTGTTGCTGTCACTCACGCTGACCGCCACCCCTGTGTCCTGTGCTGTGCGGAGCTGTTGAGTTGCCTGCTTAGGTTGTTTGTAGAGAGCTCTGAAGGCATAGGCACCACCAAGTCCTTCCACCTCGTCAGCATGCATGTAAAGTGCTTGACACGGTGCTTGACCCGTGGGAAAGTGCTCAAGAAATGGTGACCGTCATTCACATTGACATCTTCTATACACAAGGAGTTCTGAAAAGACTGGCAAAATCAGCAAGGTAGACTTCAAAAGCCAAAATTGTTGGCATCTCAACAAGAAAAACACTAAAACTTCAAGTGGTAAATGGCAGAGGACTTACATAAATAATTCACAAACGAAAAAATGTAAGTGGGACTTTATAGTAAGGAACAAATTAAAATTCGTTTTTAAAAAATGAATGAACCACCCACGGAATGGGAAAAATTATTTGCAAATCATATATCTGATAAAGGTCTAGTATCCAGAATATATAAAGAGTTCTTAAAACTCAACAACAAAAAGACAACAATTCAATTAAAAAATTGGCAAAGGACTTCTTTGGTATTTCTCCAAAGAAGATATATGAATTTCCAACAAGCAAATGAAAAGATCCTCAATGTCATTAGTCATTAGAGAAATGCAAATCAAAACCACAACGAGATACCATTTTACTCCCACTAGCATGGCTGTAATTAAAGACAAAAACAAAACAGAAAATAACAAGTGTTGACAAGGATGTGGAGAAATTGGAACCTTTATACTTTGTTGGTGAGATTGTAAAATGGTGGCGGCTGCTATAGTTAAACATAGAATTACCATATGACCCACCAGAATTGAAAACAGGTCCAACAAAAACTTGTAGAGGATTTTTTTGTAGCAGCTCTATTCACAATAGCCCAAAGGTAGAAACAACCCAAATCCATCAGTGGATGAATGGACAAAATGTAGTATATTCCTACAATGGGATATTATTGAGCCATAGAAAAGGAATGAAATACTGATACATGCTACAACATGGATGAACCTTGAAAACATCATGCAAAGGAAAAGAAGGCAATCACAAAAGGTCACATTGTATGATACTATTTAGATACTATCCGGAACAGGCAAATCCATAGAGATGCAGAGCGGATCAGGTTGTCAGGAGGCTCAAAGAGGGAGGGAATGAGGAGAGACTCCTTACTGTGTATGGAATTCCCATTTGAGGTGATGAAAATGTTCTGGAACCAGATAGTAATGATGGCGGATAGTAATGATGGCGGCACAGCACTGTGGATGTCCTCAATGTCGCTGAATTGTATGCTTTAAAATGGCTAGAATGCTACATATTATATGTATCTTACCATAATAAAAAAATTAGTGAGCCAATATATAAAAAAATATTACACCCCAGGGCTAGCTGCAGGGATTAGTTACCTCAGAACACTAGAGGAGAAGGGCGGTCTGGCTGGAGAATATGTAAGATGCTCAAACACATTAGTTAACAGAGAAATGCAAATGAAACAATAAATTATTACTTTACTCCTATTAGACTGTCAAAGCTTAGACAACTGGATAATGCCAAGTGTTGGAAATCCTTTCTTTACCTGCTTGGAACCCAGCTTAACTAGCCTTATCAGCTCTGTAGGCCTAGAGGGACGGTCAGGCGCAGCTGCGGGGTGTGGACACTGGTGCAGCCACTGCAGAGAGCCATCTGTCAGATGAAGATACACATGCCCTATATTTTACTTGTAGATATATATCTGGAAAATGTTCTTACATGGGTCTGTAAGGGGACATGTGGTGGTGGGAACTTGGATGCATCTTGGAGAATTATGCAACAGTTAGGAGCAGTGGACTAAATGTATATAGCAATAGAGATGGATCTTAAAAGCATTCAGCCAATTGAAATTTTTTTTTAATAAAATGAAATACATAAACAATGCCATTGACATTTTTAAAAGATGCATGTACCCATGACAATGAATGTTTTACAAGAAGCATACATACAAAAGATCAACATTAAACATCCAGAATGGTGGTGATGGGCAGAGGAGAATGAGAATGTGGATAGGAGTGAGTGAATAATGCATATCTACAAAGGGGGAAGGATCATAAAAGATGGGAGTTAGACCAGATTATAGCATATCGACATGATAAAAAATACTCTAAAACCAGTAAAAATATTGTTAATCATATCAGTAATTCCACCAGAACTTACGTGCAGACCACTTAAAAATGTGAAAAAAAAAAAAAACCCTGTCAAGATAGAAAGGAAACTATGTAGAAAATTTTAAAGTTAATGAATTCATAGTCTAAAAATACACACAGAAGTATAAATAGGTAAATTGTAACACAGATCTATAAATAGATAACTTGTAATTCAGCACTCTGAGTGAGATCCCAGATGTGTAAATACTGTGCTGTAGGGGAAATCTTCCTCTTCACCCAGGAGGCCACACGGAACTGGGTGTGCAGAAGGTCAGGTAGGCAAAGGGAATGAATAGCATTGCAAGGATCGTGAACTACATGGACAGAGGCTAGAGGTAAGAAAGAAAATGTGGCCTCAGCAGGACTTCATGCTCGCTCACCAGTGAATCGCCTTTTGCTTCTCCGAGATTTTTTCCTTGTCCAAGTCCATCCAGCATTACCAGGTGGAAGGCACTAGCTGAAACAGGTCATTGCTCTGTGCTGATGGCCAGCACAGAGTGACAGGCTATATGACCAGAGTGAAGAGGCCATCTTGCTCTCCTCCAGAGAAAAGAGTGGATGCTTTTTTGACAATTTCAGTCAACTCACCATAGAACTTTCCTTACAGAGCCTGTTGTTTTGTCCAAAATCAAAACTGCACATTCACAGAGGGGAGATTTTAAAGATTATCCGAGAATGTCAAGAAGAAAGTTTCTGGAAGAGAGGTAAATCACACCCCTCTTAATCTTTAACACGATATGTGCTGCAATAAACCGCCTAAGTATCCTATTAGAATTATAGTCATATTTATTTTTAAGCAGGAGTTTGCATAGTTCCCTAAAGATCTTTGCTATCTAGAGCTGTTTAGAGTTTAAATCCACATTGAGACTCTTTCAAGGGCAGAGATAATATCTGATTTACCTCAATTAGCAGAAAGTGATACGCTCATAACTTTCCTTCATGTGAGCAAGAACGTTTACGAAAGAGAATTATATAGAATTTCTTGAGAGTAAACCCTTCCTAAATTACACTGGACTCTGACCTCATCAAGTTCAGAAATAACGTCAGGTTTATGGCTTCATCCCAGAGCCAAGCATAGTGCTTCACATCTAAAAAGTACCTGTTCAGTATTTGTGGAATGAATGAAAAGTGGCAGCATCTGTTCCTACTTCTCTTACAATGTCTGTGAAATAACCTTTTCTGCTGTATCGCCTCCTCTTTCTGGGCCTGCCTCATTTAAATAAGACAAGGGTGTGAATCTAGGCTGTGTGTTAAGGTCTCTTTCAATTTAAAAAAAGTCATGATTTGTCATTTGAAAATGTCATAAAAGAGCATGTCAGTATAGCCCCAATAGTTATAACATTGCTGACAAGGATAATTTTACTTTGAAATACTCATCTTGATTTCTCAAATCATTCAAATTCAGTATCAACTATATTGGAAGTAACACTCTTTAGAATTCGATGTTCATTATGAATTACTGTGATTACTGATTGTGCTCTCAGCAATCCATGTCTTTTCTGACAACCTATTAGTAAGTAATTTAATTAAGCCCTAGTAGACCAAAATTTCAGTATGACGCATTTGCCTACCATCAGGTAGATATGAGTGGAAAAATTGGTTGCTTTTTGATATGTTTTTGTTGCTAGAAAGAGCTAGATGTTTATCACTGCTCTCTGCTTTTGGAAGAAGTCATTTGACACATTTTGACAGAACTAGAAACTGCCTTTGCCAACTAATTTACCTGCTTTAAAAATCACAGCTAAACATCACCCATGTTTGACATGAATGTAGTAATCTTGTAATCCTCAGAAAATAGACATCCAAATTATGTAACAAAATGTGAAAGACAAAAGCAGAGAACTACCATAGATAGGATATGCAGTTTATTGTATTAATTTTTAATTTTTCTGTAGGATCGGAAATTTCAAAATAAATAGCTAAAGGCAGTTTCCAAATTCGACAGCTGAATGTAAACACACTAAGATGCCTGTGTTGTGTGTAGTGGCTAAAATCTAGTGTGTGGTGGGCGTTCACTAGAATTGGATGTCAGAGATGGAGTACCATGGGGTTCAGGTTTTGCCAGGTTAAATCTGTACAGCGGGTTCGGTGCCTGGGACCCCAAGAAAATTCTCCAGGTCGTATTTAATAAATATTTGTTGAATAAATAAAATAACAAAGGACTAAACACTCATTGCCAAGGTAGGTAAGAGAAGAAACTCAGAGTAATTCTCCCTGACTTCTAGGTGAGGCACCAAGTTCTAAACTACGAGTATTGAAGGGCATTTTTGTTTTACAGCTCTGCCTTTTTCTCTTGTAAGCATGCTTGTTACCCAAGGACTGGTCCATCAAGGTAAGATTCAATATTTGTTCAATAATTTAATTTAAGGAAGCCCGATTTTCTGTGACCCTCCTGGCAGCTTTTTGGTGCTTGTTTTTTTGTTTGTTTGTTTGTTTTTTGTTTTGTTTTGTGAAGGATTTATTCATGCAGGCTTTTGCCTATTTTCAGCATATGTCCCCACCCCCACCCCTCTGGAAGATGTCCTAATCCCCAGAATGAGTGAGTATATTGTTACATGGCAAAGGGAAATTGAAGTAGCAGATGGACAGGCTTTTACTCAGCTGACCTTAAAATAGGGAGATTATTCTGGATTATCCAGATGGGTCCAGTGTAATCAAAATGATCCTTAAAAGTGAGAGTGGGTCAGAGGATAGAACCAGAGAGATGGCAAAATGGGGTGGACTCGGCTCAACACTGCTGGCTTTGAAGATGCAGGAAGGGGCCAGGAGTCCAGGAATGTGAGTGGCCTCTAGAAGCTGGAAAGGCTGGAAACCGTAGCCACCTCCAGAAAGGAATGCAGCCCTGCTGATTTTAGCCTAGTGCTATGGTCTGAATGTTTGTGTCCCCTCGCCCCCAAATTCACATGTTGGAATTTTACCCCTCAAAGGTGATGGAATTAGAAAGTGAGGCCTTCAGGAGGTGATTAGGCCATGAGGTGGAGCCCTCTTATGAAATAACCTCCACAGAGCTCCTTGGCCCTTTCCACCATGAGAAGTCTGCAACCCAGAGGAGGGCCATCATCAACCATGCTGGCACCCTTATCTTGGACTTCAGCCTCCAGAACTGTGAGAAATAAGTTTCTATTGTGTGTAAGCCACCCAGTGTTGGTATTTTGTTATAGCAGCCTGAACACACTTAAGACGTCCACCCAACGAGGCCCATTTTGAGCTTCTGACCTCCAGAACTGTAAGGTAACAAATTTGTGTTGTTTTAAGCCACTAAGTTTGCGGTAAGGTGTTATAGCAGCCACAGGAAACTAAAATGGTACCTCTCTCTGTCCCAGAGTCTCCCAGAGGCTCTGCACATTAGACAGATTGTGCCCTGTCTGTCTAGGGAGCTCCAGCGAGGAGGTAAGTGGGGCTGCAGTCCAGTGAGCTCTGTCAGGCCATTCGTTCTGGCGAGAGGCTGCACCTGCCCGAGGGCGAGTGCCCTGTCTAACTTGCCCGAGAGATCGTGAGGACCAGCAGCCACCCTGTGTCTCCCTACGTACCCTTCCCTGCCTCTTAGAGTTCTCCAATTTCCCTCTCTATTCCCCCTTCCTCGAGCTCTTCTTTCTGCCTGTCTCCGTCTCCCCACAGAACGCGCAGGCATCACCTAATCCCCAAACAGCAACAAGGCACCTGATTGACCCTCTTGAAGCCCATTATTTTGTCCCCAGTAAACATGAGAGAAAATGTTCCAGTTCTATTTGGGTCTCAAAGATCATTTGTGTCATATATCTAGGAGAATCCCATTTCAAGCAATATATTCTATCTTAAGGATTTAAGTTGATTTATTAAATGTGATTTCATTTTTCTAATAGAAACATAGTCATTGATCAGTAACAAGCCTTTGTCAGACCATTTTGACAACAAAGAATATGGTCACAAGATCTACAGGGGTTATGTTTTTATAAACATTGAACTTGTCAAAATCTACCGTCTCTTGCATGTATGCAAATACACTCTCCAGGGTTCTGTATTAGTTTTCTACAGCAGCTATAACAAACTACCACAAACACAGTAGCTTAAAACAATACAAATTTACTATGGTTCTGGAGGTCAGAAGTCCAAAATAGATTTCTCTGGGCTGAAATCAAATGTTGGCAGGGCTGCGTTCCTTTCTGGGAGACTCTCAGGCTTCCTTTCCCATTCCAGCTTCTAGATACCACCTACCTTCCTGGGCGCATGGCTTCTTTATCTACAAAGCCAGCAGCGTTGAGGCAAGTTCTTCTTATACTGTCATCTGTCTCGTTCTGTCTCTGAATCCCTCTTTACATTCAAGGGTCGTCGTGATTACACTGGGCCCACCCAAATAATCCAGGATAATCTCCCTATTTTAAAGTCATCTGATTAACGACTTTAATTCCATTTTCTACCTTAATTCCCCTTTATTATATAATGTAACATATTCACAGTTTCCAGGGATTCGAATGTGGACATCTTTACGAGGTCATTATTCTGCTTACCACAGATTGAAATGTTTTTATTTAAAAATTGTGATATATATACAGTCATGTGCTGAATAACATTTTGGTCAATGACAGGCTGCATATACAATAGTAGGTCCCATAAGATTATAATGGAGCTGGAAAATTCCTATGAACTAGTGACCTCATAGCCATGGTAACATCGTAGCACAAGGCATTACTCATGTGTTTGAGGTGATGCTGGTATGAAAAAGCCTACTGCACTACCAGTTGTATGAAAGCATAGCATGTACAGTTGTATACAGTACATAATATTTGATAATGATTAAAAAATGACTTATTGGCTTATATATTTACTATACTGTACTTATTTTAGAGTTTATTAAAAAAGTGTTTTGTAAAACAGCGTGCTGTGTTGCAACACCCTCATACATCTCTTGATCGCATCACTTTATATTGTGCTAGACTTGATTTCATGTTGTTTTGTGTAATAACATGCTGTACAGACTTGTAGAGTAGGAGCAGTAGGCTACACCATACAGCCTAGGTACGTAGTGGGCTACACCATCCATGTTTGTGTAAGTGCGCTCCATGATGTTTGCAAAACGATGAAATCGCCTAAGGATGCATTTCTCAGAACTTATCTCGGTTAAGCGGTCTATGACTGGTACTGTGAATCTCTAAATTGAAACTCTGCCCTGAGTTACTGAAAAAGGGGTGGGGACAATGACTAATTGCTTGGAACTAAGTTGTTAGCGCCACCTTTGCCTCGATATCTTTTAAGTCTTGAATTGTCTATTTCATGTTCTTTTCGACACGTTAAAGCTAATACTACTTGCCAAAAATGGCTATTTGAGAGTTAAATTCAATCAAGAATTGAATTATAACTTTTCAGATCATCTCTTCAGATTAAGAACTTGTGTATATATTAAACTATGAAGGTTTCTTTCCACTTTATAAATTTAAATGTTATAAAATGAAATAATATATTTACATATTACTCCTTAGGTTATTTAGCAGCTAACCCAAGATTTGGATCTTTGCCTAAAGCTGCACGTAAGTCATAGAAGTTAAAAAGACGTGATTTTTTAAAAAGAAAATATTAAAGCAACTGGAGATACAAATGTCCAGGTTAACCAAATTGACTCTGAAAAATCAGTCTCAACTTTTTCCACTATGCAGTCTATTCAATGCTTCCTGAGCAACAAGAACCTCACCTTAGACAGTCCTCTTTACCGCATGGACCAGGAGGGATTGGCAGGATATACTAAGGCTATCAACAGCAGAGCCTCAGAATGATATATCCATTAGGGATTTTAATATTCTTTTGGCCAGTCTTTTCAAAATATTTTCTATCATGAACATAACAAATGAATGATTTTTAAAACTCACGGACTTTCTAATAATACAGCTACCACAAACATGGGGTTTCATCTTCTTCCACTCATAATACACAAACCTATTACGTACGAAGAGGATGCTTTCCAGTTTATAGTCTGAAACCTCATTTCCAGCAGGAGGAGCAGGTTGGCGATTTCTTCCTTGGCAGGTTCCCTTTGCCTTGTGCGACCTCTCTCCTCCATGGGACAGGATAGACTGCAGCTCCCCAAACTCCAATCTATAGAGAGAATTTCCTACCTAGCAATTTGAAAGCTAAGATAGCCACAACCAGAACCCCACCGCCACCTCCCCTGGTAGCCTCAGACATTTTGTTTGCTGGCTGGGCCTCCCTCAGGTGGCCTGGCTTAGGGTCACACCGTTGCTTGCTCTGCCCTGGCCCTCCTACTAACAGTTGGAAACTGAGATCAGAAAGTCTCCAGTTCCCAATCCTGCTCTTTAATGGATAGCTTCATTCTCAGTTTTTGTTCATTGATTTATCATGGTATTTTTAGTATAAAAGTTACTACTGTTAATAAAGAAAGTTCTAGAAGGTAATAATGGAGGTGATTCTGATAATCATATAATCTCTCTTTCCTAACCTGCTTTTACAGTGGCTGGTATCTTGGGATTTGGCCTTGGAAAGGCATCATACATAGGAGTATGCCAGAGCAAATTCCATTCCCTTGATGATCAGCTACGTGGAGCTGGTTTTGGTCCAGGGCATAACAGGTTTGTAATCTGTTTGAGGAATTATAATGAAGAAAATTATAAAAAATGTAAATGAAAGATCATTCACTATTTATAATATTAAAGTTTTTAAAATTTTAACATCCATATGTTGGAAAAGAACCTCTTTACCTCTCAAATTTTGAGTTGTTGCTATTCAATTTCAATAATAATTTTTTTTATTATTTAACTCATTTACCTATTTCATTTGCTTAACAAACATTGAGTGAGTACCTACTATATTTGAGGCATTGTGCAAGTCTCAAAAGAATACCTTAATCAGCAGACATGGCCTCTACCATCACTGGGTTACACCAAATTTAAATAGATTTCTTTATTGCAGGACTTCTCAGAGCCTTTGCTGTGTGTGTGTGTGTGTGTGTGTGTGTGTGTGTGTGTGTGTGTGTGTGTGTATCTCATAATTCTCATAAGCAGTAGAACTCAAGTTAAAGGTATATTGCCTCTGCTCTTAGAGTACCTGGGTTGAAAACCAGTTCTACCACTTACTAAATAAACTATGTAACCTTGGAAAAGTTTCTTAAGCTATCTAATCTTCAGTCCTCTCATCTGTATAAAATGGTGAGCAGAATTATTTTCATGAGATGCTATAAGGAATAGAAATGACTATGATACTCAGTAAGTTCTCAGTAAATAATAGTTACTACAGGACCAGTGTTGGGGACACATTTATTTAAAGACCCTCACTTGTCACAGTGGATTCTATCTGAGAGGCAGCACAATATTGTGAAAACAACATTGGACATGAAGATCATTACTGGCCTTTTTTTTGGATGAAATTATATGGTCTTGAACTAAGAAACGGCTCCTATTATTCCTTAAAAAATTAGGCTTGTGAACTTTAGTATAAAAAAATGTGTCTTAATATTCTTTTAAGACTAGAGCTTCCAGTGTCAAAGCACAAACCTCTATTTTTGCATCTGTTCTAGGCACTGCCTGCTTACCTGTGAGGAATGCAAAATTAAACATGGATTAAGTGAAAAGGAAAGTTCACAGCCTTCAGCTTCCTAAACTACATATCTATGGCTTTTGAAGTTTCTTAAACCTCTGAATTTGTACACACTTAAAATTTCAAATGTACTTTAAATAATATACTTACAGTGAAACAAACATTGTGATTCGCTCATTCTATTGAATGCTTTCTGTAGAAGGTTCCTAATTGAATTGAGCATTGTATATTTTTCTACTATTTAAGAACATGTTGGGAGCTTTCACAATCAAAAAGATATTATGTTGCATTCTAACTTGCTTACAGCCTAAGTAAAAGAATTTAGTCTTCTCTGATTCTCTCCATCATACTTTCACTCTGCTTTATTTAGTTCTGGGTTTTAAGATTGCCAATAAGAGGACAGGAATGAATGTTGAGGGACTTGGGAAGTCATGCCCCAGAGGAAAACCATTGATTATAGAGATAGAAACACAGGACAAGAGACTGCATCTTACAGCTATATGAACCTGTAGTCCCTAACATTTTCAGCACCAGGGATCGCCTGATCTGAGGTGGAGCTGAGGTGGTGATGCTAGCCCGGGGAGCGGCTGCAAATACAGACGAAGCTTTGCTTGCTGGCTTTCTGCTCACCTCCTGCTGTGCGGCCCGGTTCCTAACAGGCATGTACTGGTACTGGTCCGCAGCCCAGGGGTTGGGACCCCCTATTCTGAAATGTAGAAACTCAGATTTTTAACTTAATAAAATATATTTCATTTTTAAGAGTCACAATATGAATCAACTGTCCTTTCAGTGACCTCGATGACTTTACGCCTCGTCGATATTGTGGAGCTTTGGCAAAATTCATCGTCTTTAGGTTACTTGCTTTGCTAATGTGTACACGCTCATGATGAGAACCAAGAACCAGGTTCTTTTATATACTGCTAATGGCATAAAAGAATAAACACGACTTCTCAAATGGTTCTTTCTTTTTCAAAGGAGCAGTTTAGTTAGGGAGGAATCATGGGAAGAATTAATTCATAGAGTGATAAACTTCTGAACTATAGGGAGCTCAGAAGCAACCAAGCCAACCCCATGAATTGAAGTCCTATTCTACTGTCAGGGGTTTTACATGGAAAAAAAAAAAAAAAAAAAAGCTCTTTCATCAGGGTCCTTTTGTTCTATTGCAGATTGAGCTCTACTTAAAAACTTCTCTTGCATCTTTGCATTTTCTCAGGAAAATGCTTTATATATGTATCACCATTTATAGGGTGTGTGTTATGTGCATTTGTGTACATTTGTGTTTTACATAATAGACCTTGAAACCTGTACCATGAAGGTAAAATATTGGGAAGTCTTATTTTTACATGAAGTATATGAAATGGAGTGATTTTGACTATGTATGTATGTGTGTGAGTGTATGTATATATATATCCTGGTTTTTCGGTCGATAAAGTTCTATTTCTGTACATCAGAATGCAGAGCCATAATATCCTAGCTTCTTGGATGCAGTTTAACTCTTGGCTCTGACAACTAGCAATTGGTGACTCCTGATTATCTCAGCTATTGGCAACAATTCAGAATTGGGCACATTTATTTCCTGCATACCAGAAAATAATTTCCCAGGGATCAGAACATTTTCACATTGCTAAGCACAGCAAGCCAATGTTGAAATTAGTCTCAGGGTATGAGAAAAGTTAGATCTGTTTTTGAAAAGGCAAACTGTTTTTGCTGCTGACATCTTCATAGTTCTTCTGAATCAAATTGCGTTTGTTTCGGCTCTCTGTTTTTCCTAAGTAGTTAAGTTATTCATGGAAGCAGATTTTTCTAGTGATTTTAGTGTGAAAGGAAATCAATAAAGCAAAAAAAATGGAAGGCCATTGAAGAGATTGCAAATATTTCTCTGTATTATCTATTGTATATAGTAGGAGGTAAGTATCTGGGGGAGAATATCTGTTAAAAGGTGTTAAAAGAGCAACATTTGTCGTTTAGTATTTAACAATTGCCAACACTCATCACCAAGTTGGTCATAAGCTTATGAAAGCAATACCTTCATGATGAAAAAAATGATGTACTGGATGTAATGCTTATATATTTAAAATAAAATTTACCTTGAAACATAAGCAATGAAAATGTTACATAGCTAATTTTCTTGATATTCAAATAATGTAATGTGTTCCGCTTTTCCACTTTGTCCTCAAATTTTAATTATAGAATTTGCTTTCATAGACATTTAGAGTTGACAGATTAGTGATTAACACCGAGTCTGAAAAGTCCAGGATCTAACAGATAATGTAATTAGTGAAGCTGGATTAGTGGCTTGTTAAACGCAGGCATAGTCTTCATTTCCATACACACGAATGTGAACCCACTGTTGTCAAATCTTCCAATTTTTAAAAACAAGTGCATGCTCTTATGTGAAATGTCCTGGTTTTTAAATGTTCATTCTTTAACGTATTCAATCATTGAGCACCCATTCTGCCAGGCACTGTCCTAGGTCCTGGGAATGTAACAATGAGCACAACCAACAAAATGCCACACCTTCTGGGAGATTATACTCATCACCGGCCTGAGGTTTGAGATCCAACCCAGCCTCTTGCCCCTTGCTGCCTGTGCAGGTGAGATTCCTGAACCCATGTATGTTCTTCCAGGGGAAGGACAGCTGCTTCTCCATGTGCAACCCAATATGCTGCCCAGCTACCAAACAATCCAGAAAGGTCTATGAGAGCCTAGGGATGCCTCTCTACCCCTCTAGACTGGAAGCTCCTCCAGGACAGGAAGCATACCCTTTTTTACTTATCTCTAAATCTCCAACCCCAAGCTGAGTTCTTGGCCAGATATAGGTTCTTCTAAATGTTTGTCAACCTAAACCTGTAACTTCTCTGTGGCTACATAATAGCCTTTAGATATTGGAAGGCATGTTCCTTTCAGAATTCTGGCAAAAGGGCCCCAGTTGTTTCAACCATTGGAGTGGGTTTCTAGTCCTGTGACACCCTGGTCTCGGGACACCCTTTGGTTTGTGACATCCTCACACACCAAGACTCCAGAATCGGATTGACAGTTCAGAGATCAGGGTTACTGTGCTTTTTGTTTTAGGCACCGCAACTGATAGCAAGAGTGGCTCTGCATCGGGCCCTGGACTCAAATCCGGGGTCCACTACTTACTGGCTACCTGGCACTGAGTCATTTATCTGCTCTGGGCCACAGTTTCCTTATTTGTAAAATGGGAAAACATTAGACATAGCTGACAGGTTGTTCATGTGAATAAAATGAGCTAACATTTACACAATGTGTAGAACAAGGCATGGCTCAGGGTAATCACTCAATGGATGTTAGCTGCTACTGCTACTACTACTACTAGTAGTAGTAGTAGTAGTAGTACGACTAGTATTACTACAACTGCAGTCCAAAAATGTGCAATTGTGTCTCACTTTTGGCCTGTGCCAGACTTTTTCATATGACCTACCTTTAAGTCAAGCCTCCCCATTTTATGCTTATGCAGCTGGTCATTCTGAATTTCAGTGTAACTCATTATACACTTATCTTTTTAATTTCATGATGCTCTTTTCAGGCCCAACTACCTGTCCTTTTCTGTCCAAAATTTGTGATTTTCAGTGTTAACTGCACTGAAAAATATTGTCAAGAATAAGGGTAGGAATGGGAAGGTAACAAAAGAGGGAACTGGGAGGTAGAAGTCAATAATGGGGAAAGAAGTATCTAAAAGGAACCTCCCTGAATAAGGTTTCAAAATCAGGACTGTCACCACAGGTCTTATGACTTGGAAGCCCAGAAATGTCTTCAATCATTCAACAGATATTTTTCAGTACTTACTATATGGAAGGTGATATGCTAGAACAGGGGTGCATTCATACGTAAGATAGTCTCTGCCCTCAGAAGTAGAGGAGACGATGTAAATAAACTGCTGAAATACAACATATCTCTGTGAGATAAACTAAATGCCACTAGAATTCAGGGTGCAGCAATGGTTACTTTTGTTGCCCTTGCAGATTGCATTAGTAGCCCAGTTCTTTACCTCTCCTGTATCCACCCATGACTTTTGTCATGGAATTTTGCATTTCTTTCCCACTGTCAGTGGAGTATACTTACCCATCTCTTGATCTTGGACTTGTCTGTATGACTTGCTTTTGACAAAATGTGAGGCAGTTCCAAACTGAGGCCTAAAGAGACCTAGTTTCTACCATATCTCTATCATGAACATAAAAGAACACAATACTAGATGCATAGCCAATAGCCTTAAGACTGATCTACCAGTTCCCCAATTTGCCTAAAATCTACCCCCCATAATAAACCCCTTACTCTGTCATTCAAAGCAATTCTGCTACTAAATTCTAGCCCAGAAACATGGTAGCTGGAAGTGAGATGCTGCCGTATCAAAAATCTAAAACACGTGTCATTGGTTTTGGGAACAAGTGGTAGATGGGTACTGGCAGGACCTTGAGGAGATTGCTAGTGGAAACCAAAGGGCCTGATGAGGGCGTTAACAGAAACCTAAAATGTTTCCAAGGAGGCTGTCTGGGAGGGATTGCAGAAAAGAGCAGGAAACACTATTGTAAGGTGGAAGATTGATTTATGTAAAGTTTAGCAAAATTGTCACCTGTGGTAACATGGAAAACAGGAAATGGACCTAAGTCGATGACCTAGCTAAGATTTCTGAACTATGTTAAGAGTGCCACTTGGCTTCTAAAATAAAATGAGAGGAGACAAGAATTATTCCAAGTGTGATTTGGAGAAAATATAAAGGCTCAAAAGTCTTTTAAGCCAGCAAAGGGTTTTCATACTCAGAAATGGGTTCCAAGCAAAGATTGAATCCAGACTGAGGCAATAACTTTTTAAGACCTCAGAAATATGACAGTGCATCATAGGATGTTTCAGACACACAAATGGTGCTCCACATGCCTTAAAGACATAACCTGTAAGCCCTGCCCAAAGCTTCCAAGAAACGTTAGGGATGTTAGCCAGCCTCACAGGGAGTCCAACATAGAAAAGACACAGGAGGCTTTTGCATAATGGAATGGATTTCAACTGAATTGCACAGATGTAAAAATTATTTTTGGACAAATACTATTTTGGATAGGGATAGTTAGTATAAAGAGGACTTGGGACCTCTGACTTCTATGGGCAGACTGAGAAAACTACTCAGTTGCAAGCGTGAGCTACCTCTATAGGAAAGGTAGGACCAAGAGCCATGGCGAATCCCTGGAGAATATACCTTAGCCCTAGTTGAAGAACCGGAAACATGAGGCTGGCTACTTCAGAACTGCTATGGTCGTGACCGTTATGTGCCTTTCGTTTCACTCTTTGAATGAGGGTGTCTACAGAAGGCTATTATAATGGGATACAAATCAGAGGTCCTAGGAAAATGTGAGTTTATTATGCACATGGGAGGGATTTGAGTTACTGTGGCCAAATGGACTGAAAAGATATTTGCAACACGTTCCACCCCACACGTTCTTTTTAAAAATGTATTAAAGGCCTTCTGTTCCTGCCCTTTGATGGGCAGCCTTGTACAGAAATTATGCTACTGACTTCTGAGGCTAGGTCATAAATAAAAGGCAATGTGGCTTTTACATGCTTGCTGGAACACTCATGCTAGAGCCCTCCACGGTCACATAAACAGTCTGATGAGCCCACACTAACTCAGGGAGAGTCAGCATACCAAGGCCCTGAAACTAAATGAAGAGAGGGATGATGCCCTGGCTAGGCCCCAGCTGCTCTAGCTCCCTGCTGTTTCAGCTCCGTCGAGCATCTGACTGCAAACCTGAGAGACCAAGAACCAAATCACTCCACTGAATCCTTAACTCCTGACCCACAGAAAAACTAAGATAATAAATGATCGTTGTTTCAAGCCACTAAGTTTTGGGATGATATGCAGCAATAGCTAACTAAAAACACTAAGTTTCTGGTAGAAATGTAATAAGAATAAGTAGAATTTAAATGAGAACACAATTTTCCATTCACCTGAACCAGGAACAAACACTAGGCCAATAAGAAACTATACTGAATTTTTATTCCCCTGAAATTTGCAGTTTTTGAACATGACCACTGCTTTTTAAAGATGTTTACTGTATGTTGATTAATAAATGAGTCACACTTACCATTATTAAATATTCAGAGATGACTTTATTTCCTATCCCTACTAAATACCACTTATGATACTTAAAAATAGGTTGCAAATAAAGCCATGAAATTAATAAAGATGCATGTTCCTTTATATTTTATTTACCACAAACACGGAGAATACAGCAAACACTGGAGAAAGGCTTTTAAATAATTTTTTGATGTAAAGCTTAACATTTAAAATTATGCTTGCTCCCCCCCACCCACCCCAATTCAACATGCAGATATCATTTATTTTCATATATGTTGATTCTAGAGCATTACAATCTCAATAGTTTTATGAGTATCCTTGCCCTGTAACTTAAATTTCACAAACTGTGTACTATCATGGTATAATACCATCATTCATATAGTTCCCCAATGTGAATACATTTACACAAGAGTAACATTAAAATTTGTTTTTTAAACTTCATTTTAATAAGCCAAAACACAAAAACCCAGGTTTTAGTTTTGAATGTTTATGAAGACTGCTGCTGAGCTCAAAGCATGCAGATATTCATGACCACCTAGATGAAGCTGGACAGTGAAACTCCTTCAGTAGGTCCAAGGATGCAATTTTTCACTCATCCCAAGTATCTCCATATTTGTTTACTTTGACTACGAAAAAAGCACAAATGATTGATGATTCCAAATAGTAGTAAATAAAAGGCAGTATTTAAAGTTTGCTATTATGATGAAAAGTTATGTTTCTCTCTCATTTAAATAAATGCACGAGAGCCAAATTAAAAAAGGGGCTAGCTAGACACTAGACTTTAGTGAACTGGAGGTTGGACATAAATACTATTGTCAAGATCTTTACATAAACATCTGATCCTCTTAACAACCTTATAAAGTAAACACAACCTTCATTTTAAAAATGAGAAAACAGATTAGTAACTTGCCCAAGGTACAAGCCTAATAAAACAAGGAGAACTAAAATTTGAGCACAGATCTGTTCAAGTCCAAAGGCTGGGTGCCTTTAAAACTTTACCCTACCAACTAAGTAAATGTGGTATGAATTACAGCACATACAAAAAATCACCATGAAATTAAAAAACAATGTTTTAAAAACTGGTTTTGTTTTTCACAAAAAATATTAGTAATAGAAAGGGTCAGGTCGTCAGGTTATGGTTAATTCAATCTTCTCTGTCATGCAAGAAATAGTTTCCAATATCCCTCCATTTTACTTAAAATTATATTGTGAAACATGTTCTGTCTACTCTACTCTTTCAGCTTTTAGCCTCTTTTACATAGCCTTCACCTGTGACTTACAACTCTTCAGAAGACCCAAGTAGTCATAACAGTGTAAAGAAGCAGTTACTAGACCCCTTCCTCAAGACTCTTTCAGGTAGTCTATGAAGTCAAAATTATTTCACTGTTATACTAAGACATTATATACCCTTTCCCCTCATAGTCAGCCTTTTCTCTTTGCTTTCATTCTCTCATTAGTACAAGGTAGTTTTCTAGAACCTACATGACGTGTGGTGACATCATTGACCCGATAGCTAATGTTTTTAAAATAATGTGCTTATGTTTTTAAAATTTTTGTCTTAATTTCTAATTAGGTAAATATCACCCAACAAACTAAAGCTGAAGACTTTAAGTGATACTTCCTAACCCTGTAAACCTACACTGTAATGTCAAATTTTCTGTCTGGACTCTAGAACAGAACATTCTACAAAATCGTTGAAACTATTTCATAATAAAGCACAAAAAAAATAACTTTCTTTTTACATAGAAATTATTTCACATTACTGTGTCATATAACAGAACTTAAGACTGCTTACAGACAAAACAACAAATGTCAAAATCTAGCAAATGCCAAAGGTCTACCATATTTCCTTTTCTTACCCTTTATTACTATAGAATACCCATCGAAACACTCCATTTCTGATTTATCAGTGTATGGTACTATGCTGTGCAGACATGTAAAAGATTATAAAAATGAGAAAAATACTGCCTGCCCTCATGGAGCTTACAATCTACATCCTCAAATTAATTAGTAGAAGTACCAGTAAGTCAGAGTAATGGTCACTGAATGCATATGGTATACACTAATTTTTTTTTAATGACAAACAGTAACAAGTAATATTGAATACAAGTATTTTAAAGCTAGATTCTTCTACATCAATGACAGATATTATCCATTACTATGAAAACAATTCTAAATGAAGCAACCACTAACAATTCAAAATAAAATTGGCTCTAAAGAACGATCATAAGAAATACTAAGAATTTTTATGTATTTTTACATTATCTGTGTTGTGGTATATGACTCTCTCAAGAAGGTACCAAGGATCTATTCCTTTGATTTCTAAAGTAGTAAATAGAAAATCTTAAACAATGACTCATCCTCTAAAACTCCTTGAGAGGAATCATAAAATTCTGTATTAAAATAGCTACAAAACCCTATTCAAAATGCTCTCTTCCAATAGAGGTCAACTTCTGTGCCACAAAATTTACTTAGGGTAATGTATAGCTGTTCTAAAATGAGTTAAATTGTGATTTAAAAATTTATAATTACAGAGCAAAAGTATTATTAAAAAAGTCAAACTCCTCTTTGGGAAATTTCCTAAAAGCTGGTTTGTAAGGCATATAAACTCTATTTTAATTTCACAAACATATCAGAAAATCAATGTCATTACTCAATCATGATTCTATGGTTCTGCCCAAAGTGGCATTACTGGTTTAATGCAACAGATGCATCATTAAAAAAATATTGGTTCCCAATATTTCTTCTTATAAAACAGTCAAATTGGATGTTGATTTTTACACTGTATCACAAAACTAGTCTTACTATCTTAAGTCATACTATTTAGGCTTCACTATTTTTAACACAGTATGGCATTTAGAACTCCATAAACAGGAAGAACTGATAACTGTGAAATAGCTATTCTTATTTTAAAAAAATGTTATTTTAGTTAATTGCTTGTGGAATTAAATCGCATGTTAGTATAATTAATATTTTTAACTAATGCTGCAGTTTCCAATCCTAAAGAATAAAGTAATTAGACTAAACTATCATACCCTTTTTTGGG